AGCTTAACGCTGAGCAAACATGCTTATAATCAGGAAATCTGATCCACCTGTGTCTGTTTTGCTTGATAGCACACTAGGATGGAGGAAAAGGGAAGAACCATTTCCTCCTTGAGAGAGTGGATAGCGGCAGGCTGACTATTCATGAACTAGGTGCTTAGATATTCGGAAATAACAGGTTAAATTGTTTCCTGAGAATTCTTAAATATATAGGAAAATATTCAGTTTGCAAATTAAAAGACCCCCCTCCTCACATGCTGATGAGGGAGCATAGTCATTGCCCTGACGTGTGGGGTGAATCTGAAAGGGGAGGTTGCTCTGCTCAAATACCTAAGAACTTATATCTTGATTGGGGAGATTTGGGGAGGGATTTCTCAAACATTTATGCTTTGTGCTTTTGAAGCAGTTTTTCCCCAGGTAGGCTCGTGAGCTTTGAGTTGGGAAATACCTGGAGATTTTGGGGGTGGAGCCTGAGCAGTGGGTGTTGCCTTCTGACACACTTCCTGTGATGTCAGGGGGTGTGGCATATGCAAATGTTATGCTAATGAGTTATGCTACTGAGCTCCTGCACCTCTTTTTCTACGACATGACCCCTGGTTTTAGACATAGGGAATACACATCAGATTTTGTAAAACGTTTGAGAGTGAAGCTGTGAACTGACTACTGTTTCGAACACCGGCCCCCTCACTGCACTTGACCATCCTGGTTTAATCAGTGCACTGATTTCTTAGAAATAAGAAAAGAAATCATTTAATAATATACACATTATCTTAAGTACAAGGGGAATCCAGGGACTTAAAACTATTTCTATGTGATATATTAAGAGATAGCCACTTTCATCCCTCTACTGAATAATTACCTCCCTTCCTCAACCAGTGATAGCATATATGTAACCTTTTCATTTCCATTTTTGTATCTGCCAGCTAACTCGGGTTCCCTTCAAGGTCCACAGACCCCTCAGTCTACTGGTAGCAATTCCATGACAGAAGTGCCAGGCGATCTCAAGCCTCCAACACCAGCATCTACACCTCATGGACAGATGACACCTATACAAGGCAGCAGGTACCACAGGCCATCTCTCTTAGAGCCTTTCTGGGTATTAATAGATTTAGTGCCAAAAATGCTGTTTGTGCATATTGCCTTTTCCCATGATTCATACTTTTCTTGGATAACGGTATTTGTATCTGTTTGTATGGAGTGTCACGGGTACCTCTTGGATGGCGTCACTGCTGAATGGCGGTGGCTCCCTTTTTCTTCTGCCACCAAGTGATGATCTTATTCCCAGTGTCCAGACTTGATAGACAATGTTCGCATGGAAGTTGAAACTGTGTAGTCCCGAGTGCAGTGAAACCATTTGTAATATCTTCCCCTCACAACAAATCTTCAGTCTTGCCTTGAGATCTTTACTCACTTCTGAAGCAAAGCTGACAGTAGGTATCATCAGACTTTGCCTTGAAACTAGTTAGGCTCAGCTCTTGTAGGAAGTTCCTGCTTTGAAAGCTAAGGGGTTTTGCTGTTGTATCCCATTTTTAAAAAATTGCATATCCTTTCATTCATCAGATGCTCTCTCTTATGTAAATGATATCCTTGCTTATATTGTAAAACTGTTGATTTTCAGAGCAATTACCTTACAGAACTACAGGAACCACTACTGATCTAATATCACAATGCACACAATTGTGTTCTAATTACATTAATGCCTTCTTTTTCTTCCCTTTCTTTAGGAATAGTTCCATTAGTGTACATGATCCTTTTTCGGATGTAAGTGATTCAGCATTCCCAAAGCGAAACTCCATGACCCCAAATGCACCCTATCAGCAAGCAATGAATATGCCAGATATGATGGGAAGAATGCCCTATGAACCGAACAAGGACCCTTTTGGGGGGATGAGAAAAGGTATCTGCTGATTATTCTTTGCTAGTTACCTTATTCCAGTGTGTCAGTAGCCCTGTTCACATGTTACTCTGCACATTTGTACAGCCTGCGTGTACATGCATTTACCAGTGTGTAAGAAAGAGCCAATACACATTCACTTTACAAATGAAACCGAGGACCAGTGCCTGGATAACTATAGGGTTTCAGTCACATGTTCATCTGTACATGCATTGAATACAACATGAGAATTACTCAACACACATCTAAAGAACAATCAGGTGTACCCACACATGGATTGTATTCGCATCCAGTATAACTTGTGAACACGCTGACCTAAATGGCCTAGGCTAGTCGCCCTGATCTTGTCAGATCTAGGAAGCTTAAGCAGGACCAACCCGGTTAGTTTTTGGACGGGAGACCACCACAGAATTCCAGGGTCAATGTGCAGAGGAAGGCAATGGGAAACCACCTCTGAACGTCTCTGGCCTTGAAAACCCTACCAGGCCTGCTATTCAGTTTATTCTGGTTTTTAACATTGTTATCTGATATATTGCCTAATTAATCTTCTTTATTGTAAAAGCTATTATATATATCTTTGTTGTTACACATGTGCTACTGTTCAACAGCTGTGCCAGAGCTTGTGACTGACCCAAGGTCACATCAGCAAGTGCAAGTGGAGGAGTGGGGAATCAAACCCGGTTCTCCCAGATTAGAGTCCGCACACTTAACCACTACACCAAACTGGAATATGAAAATGTTTTGGCCTGCTCAGGGGATTTTAGACTGTTACATTTTAAAATGTTAAAATGAAAATTTTGACATTGTTCTCTGTGTGTTCTCTGCTTTTACAAATAGGGGTCCTCTTTCAGATTGTAGTATGGGCAAAATCAGAGTTTTCTGTAGTGAGGAAGAAGGATTGTCAGCAACATTTAAAGCTTGCTCTGGATATATTCAAGAAACAGCAGGGTATCTTAAGAGCATTTGTTCTAGGAATTTTAATCCTCCAGGGTGACAGTGACAATGCATCACCATAGGTCAAAAAGTAATTTAAAAAATAAAGCAAAGGGATTTGGCTTACCTACTGCATGGTCCCATTTAACTATATCCAGTGTTAGTCGGTGTCCCAGTCCAGCGGCCTTGTGACGAAGACCCCAACCCCCAGGGACGCCCTTGACCATGCCACTCACCCAGGAACCAGCAGAGGAGCGAGGCAGTGACGACACCATGGCAACCAACAGGGCTGTAGCATGGCGCCTCGCCACGGGAGAAACGACCATCGCCAACCCAGGGAGATGCGGCCACGCCGGCAGAGCACATCCCCTCGGTCGGGCACCTCGGAGCTCTATCCCAGGAAGCGGTGAAGCGAATGCCACTGAGGGCGGGCACAATGGGGAAACTGAGCCGTAGCACCAGCGGCGTGGCCCCTGGGCCAACAGGACTGCTGGTGGCACACCCACAACCACGCCCGGAATGACCAGAAGGCGTCCGGGCTTATCAAGGGGGACGGGGCCAGACCGGGAATAGAGGAGGTGGGGATTACAGGCGGCACTGGGAGCAGGGCGGGGTATAAAAGGAGAGAGAAACGGATGGGCTGGGGAGGAAGAAAGTGCGAAGGAACGAGACGGAGAGAGAGATGGGACCACAAGTATTCGGTGCAGAGGGAGCTACAGGGTGTCCATAACCCCATCCCTTGCCTATCTGAGGCCCCTCCGCAACCTCCTCCTTTACAAACCCTCTCCAACTCCCAGTGCCGACGCCACGGCCAAGGGCGGGTTGACTCCAGGGCTGCAAACAAAGCTTGACAGTCGGTCAGTGTGTACAACCTGGGAACTTGTCAAAGAAACAGATACTCCTTAGAAATAATCAAGTGTGATATCAAACATGGGGAATTGATGGTCCCTCCTAGCCTGTCTAAATGGATCCCCTGTTCATAAGCCATTTCCTATTTGCAGTTTTGCCTAATTCAGTAGCACATAAGCAGTTCTGCTGCTAAAGAATTAAGACATAGACTGATATAATTTTAAATCTTAGTGGAATCGCATGAATCCCAGAAGCATATTAGGAAAGCTTATAAGGTCATATATTCTTGATCGAAGGTCATGGCAATGTTCCCTCTAAGCTGTGGAGTCCTGTGACCAAAAATTCTGCTTTGTGAGCTACTGGCATTAAAGTGAGCAATTTGTGAGTGAGCAATTTGGCTACTGCATAAATTAGTTTGCTCTGGAACCATCCTTACTGAGAGAAGACAAAAATGTGTGAGCCAGAAGCTAAAAAACTGTGAGCTAGCTCACACTAACTCAGCCTAGAGGGAACATTGCATGGAAGTAAATATTTTAACCAAAGGAAGTTATTTATTAGTTCCACTTACCATTTGCTTAAAATCTTTCTTACGTCATGTAGCATTGTAGAAAATGAACCTCTGTTGCAGTGTAAGCAGGGTTTTGATTGTGGGGGTGCTTAAGTGGACCCCCAAAATTGAATTTTTTGCAGTCTGGGCAGGTCTATCAACTTTGTATACAGGGCCTTGATAATGTAAGAATATATGTCCCAAGACTTCTAGTGGAACTTATATTTTTGCACAAATAAAATATTGTGTTTTTTCACTTATAGGTACAGGTAGCTTCATTCTTATGAAGCTTCTAGTCTACTTTTAGTATTGTATATTTATTTATTTTATCTATTTATACCCCATTTTTCTTCCCAATGGTGACCCAAAGCAGCTGAAGTTGTTCTCCCTTCCTCCATTTTACCCTTACAGCAACCCTGTGAGGTAGGTTAAGATTAGATAGTGACTGGCCCAAGATCACCCAGCAAACTCCCATAGCAGAGTGGGGATTCAGACCTGGGTCACTCAGATCCTAGTCTAGGACTCTAATGGCTACATCACGCATATAGAACTGGACGTCATTCTTCTGGAGAATTCACTTATATCTAGTTCTAAATGGATGCTGAAAGCCTTTCTTACTTTGGAATATTCAGCCTTAGTTTGTCAACTTTGGAATGTTTTCACAATGCAAAGCTGATATAGGTGACTCAACAACTTTCATCAATAGAAGCACCTGATGGGGATTGTATCTAGAGCATTCCTGTTTTGTGGCTACTGTTTCCTTTTTCTCTAATTTGGAGTGTGTGTGTGTGTCGGTGTCGATGTCTGGAGAACATGGGGGGGATGATATGTAGCTCAATAAGGATCAGATCTTTACCGTTAGGATACAAGGGGTTGGATCCAGTACAAGTACCATGCTAGGTCTTCATAAGAATCCTGCTTCTCTTGGCACCTTTCCCCTCTCACCAACAGCCATTTCCAGCCTGCTTCCTGGGAAGGTTTGTTCCTGGGGTCATGGGACCCACGTGCAGTAATAGCGTGTGGGTTGTGAAGTTTCGGGGGGGGGAAGGGGGCAAAACCATTCCCTTCTTCTGTCTTCCAAGATCCAGTTACACAAGAAGGAGGAGGGAACAATTTTGCTTGCTTCTCCACTGTAGTCTACCAATCCATATGGCTACTATTCCATGCAGGTCCCATGACCCCAGGAATAAACATTTCTGGAATCGAAGTCGCTGATGGAGGAGTGGAAAGCTGAGAAGATTGGCAGCCATCAGCACATTCCACTGGCAGATTGTGGATTCCAAACTGGGGCTTGTACAGAAGATTGACAAACTTGTTCCAGTCTTTTCTTCTGTTTTCAAATCTAAGATTGTAAAAACACATGGGATTCTAGTTCTGGGCCCAAGTATGCTAAGATACAAGTTGTTCGTCTATCAGATAGATTTGAATCAGTTACTTGAGGCTTTGAAGCCTGCTTTTTTGGTGATCCATTCTATTTAGTAACGATCCTGACATCTAGCTGTTACTTCTTAGTGCCAGTGATGATTTATGCATTTGTCAGATAGCTGACTATTGTCCTTGGTAGGGTCAAGTCTGTGAACTTCAGTTAATGATGTCGTGTAATATTGTTTGTGTAATATTGTTTGAACATGCAGTTTAATATAACACATTTAATTTGTGCTTCTTTATTCTTTTTTGTAGTGCCTGGAAACAGTGAACCCTTTATGACCCCTGGACAAATGCCCAACAGTGGAATGCAGGACATGTATAACCAGACTCCCTCTGGAGCAATGTCCAACATGGGCATTGGCCAGCGCCAGCAGTTCCCCTATGGAAGTGGTTATGACCGGAGGTGAGAGTCCCTATATCTTCAAAAGGCAGATTATTAATGATCCTTCCCTTTTAGCCTTCTTCCAGTTGCCTCTAGCACAGAACTCACCACCCTGCACGTCCTAGAGCTAACTGAAGACTAACTGAGCATAAGATTTCTGTTTTTTACAGGAATTAGTGAATGGAGGGTGGTTAAAGAAGGAAGTTAAAGAGAGGAGGCTGATAAGCTGTACCATTTGATCACAGCCTTTTCAGGCTGTAGCAGTTTGCTACTTCTGCTATGGTTTGTGAAAATTATCACTGAGTTGCAATGCAATCTCCGGCAAAATGCGCCTCCACCCTTTTCACAACTCTTTGGAAAAGAGAGCAAAACTTATTTACAAAGGGCTGATGGTGGTGGAAGAGAGGTCGTGTCTTGGAGAACCAGGTGAATACTTCCTTGCCACAATCTAGCCATGTATAGTTGATTACTTGAGCAGAATATAGATTGAAGGGCTCATTCAGATGCATGTCTGATGGCACACTGCAGTGGGGGGGGGAATCACTCATCCGGACGTGAATGCCATGCATCTTCACCACCTTGCTTTTGATAATACTTCCCCTTATGTGCATATCAGAATACACATTCTGCCCCAAATAATAATGTATAACTACATGCACCTACAGCTAGATTTGTGCAGGTCTTGAGATGCAGTGCTTGAGGCACAGATGATGGAATGGCCAGTAAAACAAAACTTGGGAATGTTGGCCTGATTGCCTGGGCAAAAGTGATGTGCTTCCTCTTCACATATATACAGAGCTCTCAGACTTAGAATGGTTGAAGGGCTTTGTTTCCCCTGTGTGACATCATCACTCAGCCAGCTATGTGGCACTGTGACATCGTATTACCTATGTGATCCTTGATTGGTTGGCATTACATAGAGAAGAAGTTCTTTGAATTAAAAAATAGGCTATTCGATCAGCAGGAGATAGGGAGCAATAACTACGAACATTAAAATGTATGATTAAGTGACAGGTGCAGGGTTCTGCAGATATTTTTGGTGCATAATAAGTAGTAACTTTCAAAATGAAAATCAATCCTCACCAAAAATTTGACACAGTACTAGTAAGAATAACATTGTGGGCATTATTCTTTTTCTGCCTTCAAATAAACAGAAACCATACCTCCTTCAGCCTGTTTTGCTCAGTGCTGATAGTTTGAGCCTCTTGCCTGGATGTTACCTTTGTGCTTTGGAAGCATTGGTCCAGTGTGACCAAGAACATGCCCCCATTGACACTACAGTTAAGTAGCCGGAGAATCTCCTGTCATAATTATTAGGATGGGGACTTTGAAAGAACTGTAGCAGAAAGGAACAATACAGAACAACAGTGAACACTAAAATAAGTATCGCTAGCTAGAATGAGGGACGAGGTTTTATACCACGTGACCACTTACATGGCTGGACAACAAATTTTCATCATAGAATCATAGAGCTGGAAGGGGCCATACAGACCACATAGTCCAACCCCCTGCCCAATGCAAGCTATTTTGTCTATTGTTGATCCTAATAGGGAAGCACTAGTTCTTGAAACTCTATGATAAAGAATAAAAGATTTTCATAATATTCCAGCGTTCTTTGGCAGAAGCTACTGAAATGAAATGAGTTTTTAGGCAACTTAGAGTTGTTGTGTTAATGGGCCCCAGTGAGCCACACTGACATGTTTTTCTTTGCAGATTTCAAGTTAGCTTCTGCCTGCAGAAGGGCTGCTCAATCCTTTCTTTGTCATCTAATTGTGTGCCCTAAATCCTACCCACCCACCGCTTTTCTCCATTAAGGAGAAAAATTCCAGCCCTGCATCTTTTCCCTCTCAGGAAGAAAGGCAGCTTGAGGGGAAATGATCTTGAGAGGATAAATATTTGGAAAAGGGAAGTAAAAAGCTCTTATTACCACCTGCAGGTGTTCTGCATTTTAAAAAATTCTACTTTAGAGAAGCAGTTCATGGGAGTATGAGTAGTTTACTCAGGGCTTTTTTTGTAGAAAAGCCCAGCAGGAACTCATTAGCATATTAGACCACACACCCATGCCTTCCCTTGGCTTGCCCGGGTGCCCTGTGGCTGCGGGGAGCTCAGAGCAAGCCCCCCCTTGAAGGGACGGGAAGGCAGTTTAAACTGCCTTCCCTTGGGTGGCCCGGGCGCCTGATGGTTGTGAGGAGCCCGACTGGGGAAGGCACAAGGAGGCATTTAAATGCCTCCCTGATCCTTCCAGGGCCCGCCCGCCTCGGAGTCGCTAGGGGGGAGGGTCGCTCTCCAAACCTTCCCTCTGTAGCCAGGCACACAGAGGTTTTGGCTATAGTGGGCGTGACCAACTCTGAAGCCAGCCGGAACTCCGTTCCTGTGCGTTCCTGCCCAAAAATAGCCCTGAGTTTACTCATTTTACTGATTAGTAGTTTACTTGTTTTCAGGTTTCTTGCAGTTCAGTAGGCTGAATTCTCCCTACAGAAGCAGAATAAAATAGCTTCTGCAAGGGTCTCAGTGATATTTTGAGTCCAGACTAAAGATCTTGAGCCAAAGATGGCTGTGCCACAAGTCTTTTTTCTCACTGGATCTGGGGCATAAGTGAGGTTTCCATTGTCATTTTTAGGTCGGATCGTGGTCTGGGTCCTGAAGGCAGTATGGGAGCACCTGGTCAAAGCAACCTGGTGCCTTCAAACAGTGACCCAAGCATGTACTCACCTAACCATGACCCTGGGCAGCAAAAGTGAACAATAATTTAATCTGTTTGAAATACCTGTATGAACCAGATGGCATTACCTTTTTCAGACCACTGAGGAAGGTTGCAGTGTACTAAGTACAGCTGATGCTGTCCACTTCACCAAAAAGTGTGCAGATTCTTGATGTAAACTCCTTTGAGATCAGTGGAGGCTAGATAGCAGTAGTGCTTGCTGGGATGTTTCCACAACCTTTGGTCATCTAATTTTGAGTTTGTAGAGGACATTTTGAGTTTGTAGAGGACACGGGATTTCAGAAGGCCTTTTTTATCTGTACAGAGTATTGCCCTCGATATCTTACTTTGAATCAAGATACAGTAATTCTACTTCTAAGCTTTGGGCTCCCCTTTCTTTAGGGACCTTTATAGACAAATGAATCTAGCAATTTAAAAGGATTCCTTGATATACAGGTTTAACTTTTTCTCCAAGGCCTCATAGCAAATAACATATCACATGTTGCTCCCGGGCCACAATGTCATCATATTTATGCACAGGCTTTTCCCACCTACACAAGTCAACATAAATCGAGTCAGATCTCTGGGGTCAGAGTAAGCCTGTGGGGTTGTTTATCTTGTTTCTCAGAACTCATTCCCTTCAATTTGTTCATTTTTTATTTTCCTCCTTTCATGAAACCACCTTATTGAGGTATTCAGTATTATATGAAATTCTAGGTCTATGTCTTTCTAGGCATATGTCATATAAGAGGCCCTGTAGAAATATTTGGAACTACCATATACGTGTGTGCCCAATGGGCCTTCTGTCCCAGAACTTTCAACCCTAACAGTGGGTCTCAGGCAACTTTATTTTATAGCCTAAGATAAATTTACTAGAAATTCCGAGAGTGAACATGGGGTCTTATGCATGGAGACCTTTTATTGCTACAGGATGAATATGTTCCTATCTCCCAGTTTACCCCAAAACATAAATATGTTACAGTGGGAACACTCAGAGTGACATTTTACTGTTCTACTAATGAAGCATTCATAGTGAATTGAGTAATGCAGGTTCACTTCATTTGTTGGGTATTAATATTATTCTGGTTGGTAATTGTGATGGACTCTTAGATTTGTACCTATGTATATTGTGCCAGGGAGGGAAGGCAGCATGATACAGCCTAATCTCATCAGATCTCGGAAGTTAAGCAGGGCTGGTACTTGGAAAGGAGACCACCAAGGAAGACTCTGCAGACACCTCTGCTTCTCACTTGCTTTGAAAGCCCCTTGCTGGGATCACCATAAATCAGCAGGGACTTGACACAGCACTTTACACACACTCATTGTGCCAGTGGTTCCATTGTGACTGAAATACCTTAGGGATGTTACCTGATCCATCCATCTTTTCTTGCCCCATTCTACCCTATTTTGTGCGGCATATAGCTCCCCGTGAGTTACCTGATGGTAGCAGTCGTGCTGCTGCTATATCCGCCATAATGTTGCTGATCAGCTAATTGCACCAGCATTGCAGCCTGGATCAGATCTTGACACTGTTACTAGTGTTGATGCCACTCCTGTATGCTTGCTCACTGGATAAATGGGTTTTAGGATTATGTTTGTAATCTGGAAATTGATGATTTAGACACATTATGCTATAATAGCAGAATGTCAAGTTTTGTTCAGTGGGGGTCTGCAATCAAGGTTAAGTCTAGTGCTCTGCTATATTACTGAGGTACACAGGTAAGTTTCAAGCAACAACTTTAGTCACAGCAAATATTTGAGGATGAAATCATTGTTCTTACTGTTTATTATCCCTATGTTTTATTCTTCCCGCTAATAATAAGTGCAGTTCTCATGCACCAATGAGTGTGTGTTTGTGTATACAAAGGTAATCAATATCCATATATTTTACTAATATGTTGTGAATCCAACAGAGAAGCAGCCAACCATTTAAGGACATGGCACCACCCCAGCAAAGTGGATGTGTGTAACTAATATGTATTCAGATCACCCGGTTGCATGGTCCTTCCACCTTTCACAAGGTGTGGGAAGAAAATGGAAAGCGTAAGAATAGTTTATGCAACAAGGACATACATTACTTTCTACTTGCATGAGATGTTCGGTCCTGAAACCTTGACTTGTCGTATACTATATTAAAGATATTACCACATAGTTGTTACCAGCCAATAGAGAGGGTTAAAATTTATTCTAAAAATGGCAGGGACTGATTTACTCTGATGTAGTGCCACTGGACTAAAATGGAACTGCAGTAACATAAGTACTCAGAGCATAAGTCACCCACCCAAGTTCAGATCACTTCTAATTAAATTTAAGTATTTGCTGTGGAAATTGACTGTGATAAAAAGAAAAGGTACATTTCATTAAGAGCTTCAGAAGTTCTATAGAATACTTAACAGGTTGTGGTACAGTTCCAAAATACTCCTATTATGAAAAGTTTTTGTATTTCTAAATAAATTTATGTTGTAATTCTTACAATGTTTGGGGTTGAAATATGGTCAGACGGGCCGGGCCTAGGCCTTATTTGTTAAAAACAGGTTATAATATATAATTAATGTATTCTGTTTATGGTTGTGTTTGTACTTTTCTGTTGGTTAAAAATGAAAATTGTCAATTAAAAAAAAACTTCAGACGTTCTTAGATACAGCTATACATTTCTCCCAACTTGGTGGGACACCAGTGTTCATTAGTAGTGTGCATTCTTCATTGCAGGCATGAACCGTATGTACAGCAGTATCCAGCACAAGCACCTCCTTCAGGACAAGCACCTTATGGAGGACACCAAGCTGGACTGTATCAACAACAGCAGGTAAAAATCCATAGCTATAATGCCACATTTGGCATAATTCACTCAGTAGATCCATGTTTTGGGGCATTGACCAAAGCAAAAAAGCTTAAAGTGGATTGTATAGGTTGACGACAAGGACATTGCTATATACATGAGTGTGTACATTTGTATGGAATGTTTCACAGCTGCAAGGAGTTAAATCAATAATTAGTAACAGGACAGTGTAGCTTGTTCACTGGGGAGGAGTTGATGTGAGTACTGCATAGACAGTTTACAGGGTCTATTGCCAAGCAGTGCAGTTGACTTGGAGGGGCAACTACATCTGTGTTAGTGATCAGTGAAGGCAACCCTAAAGGATGCTGCTGGTATTGCAAAGGAATTCTAGGTAGATAAATAGGGGAGATTGAGAAAGGTGTGGCATTGAAGTAGCCTTGCCTCTCAATAGTCACATTTTTATTTTTATAGAATCATAGAGTTGGAAGGGGCCATACAGACCATCTAGTCCAACCCCCTGCCCAATGCAGGACCAGCCTAAAGCATCTCTGACAAATATTCATCCAGCCTCTTCTTGAAAGCTGCCAGTGAAGGGGAGCTTACCACCTCCCTAGGCAGCTAATTCCATGCCCCACTTCTGACAAATTCAGAGTGGCTTGTAACTAACTGCAAATATATATAATTGATTCTTAGCAAATCAATATAAAACAGCAACCAATAATCACTTGGTGCCACACAGAACTTTCCAGACTCCCGCTTATTAGGCTTGCCAATTCCCCCCGGGGGGCGTTGAAACCCCCACCCCAGAGGCCCGTTCCCTGCCGCCGGCGGATCAGGCCCTGGGGGCTACCCCACCCCCAAAGCACAGGACGTGCCCGGCATCACCACGTCACCCGGAAGCGACGCAGCCACGCCGGGTGCGCCAGGGGCGGAGCTGCGGTCATCCGAGGGAAAACTATGTTTTTCCCTCAGATGACCGCAGCCCCGCCCCCAACGCGGCCGCGTCACTTCCAGGTGATGTGCTTGCAGCGCGCGCTCCCGGAGGAAGCCGGGAGTCCCCCGCTGCAGCTTAATTACGACTTGGCAATCCTACCGCTTATCCAGAGTTTGCCCTCCAAAGAAGCTCAGCCATTCCCAGTTGCTTAAATCAATAAACAATACACCATACAAACTTACCTGTGCATAGGGTTCCAGGGATATGGAGTCACTGGAGAGAAAGCTCTGGACCTTGTGACTATTTGTTAAGCCTCAAGTTATTTTTCTTTCAAATATAAAATTGTAAGCATATCAAAACAGTCTTCTAAAAGGAAAGTGCTGCCTCAATTATAATCATAAGCATTTTTAAACCTGCCTCTGAAGTCATCATTCTCTCTTGTTAAAGTTGAAGAGGAAGTGTTTTCCAGGCCATGTGCATTTACTGGAATAATTAAAAAGCAGCAATTTGTCCATTAAAACATTCATGAAAGTACAAGGTTTTAATTTCATCCAGATCTGTGTGGTATGTTATCTGGAAAGCTTCTGTCATACCAGTACAATGCAATATGAAAAATAATGTTTTAGGCTCTATCCTTTATTCATGTCGATATTCCTTTTCAGAACTACAAACGTCATATGGATGGCATGTATGGGCCTCCTGCAAAGCGCCATGAAGGAGATATGTTTAACATGCAGTATAGCAACCAACAGCAAGATATGTTTAACCAGTATAGCAGCGCTTACTCTGGACCAGACAGGAGGCCCATACAAGGACAATATCCATATCCTTATAACAGAGAGAGGATGCAGGGTCCAGGACAAATGCAACAACATGGAATACCTCCTCAAATGATTGGTGGCCCTATGCAGTCATCAGCCTCCACTGAAGGACCCCAGCAGAACATGTGGCCCACAAGAAATGATATGCCTTACCCATATCAGAATAGGCAAGGTCCTGGCGGTCCTGCACAGGCCCCACCTTATCCAGGGATGAACCGCACTGAAGATATGATGGTACCTGACCAGAGGATAAACCACGAAAGCCAGTGGCCTTCTCACGTCAACCAGCGCCAGCCTTCTTACATGTCATCCTCCACTTCCATGCAACCAATCACTCGACCTCAGTCATCCTACCAGACACCATCATCAATGTCAAACCACATATCTCGGGCTCCAAGTCCTGCATCTTTCCCCCGCTCTTTGGAAAATCGTATGTCTCCAAGTAAATCCCCTTTCCTGCCCTCCATGAAGATGCCAAAAGTTATGCCTACTGTTCCAGTTTCACAGGTCACAGGTCCTCCAACTCAGCCACCACCAATCAGGCGAGAAATAACTTTCCCTCCAGGCTCAGTAGAAGCATCCCAACCAGTCTTGAAACCAAGACGAAAGATTACCTCAAAAGACATTGGTAAGGATATCATTGTTCATTTAAGGAAGGTTATTTCCTTTTAACTATAATTTCACAGGAAGGTTTATATAAATGCAGCTTTTAGTTCTACTAAATGGCAGTGTTCTTAAAATAGAGTGTCCATTTCATGGAACAAATATTGCCCCAACAATTAATCTTTCTACTCAAAATAGAACACTGCGTGTTCAAATGAGCAGTTTCTATGATTGTGACTTTGATAATATCAGATTAGAGTTTGATCCTGCTTGAGACTTGTAAGACTTCATTATAGAAACCACACCAGGATTTATAGTAACTGGCACTGTTTAATGCAGATGGCTGCCCCTATGTTAGCAATGGAACTAGGGTGAAAGCACTCTATAGAAGCTGCTTCCTAGGCACAGTGGCACGTAGGAACAGGCTGTTGTATGCAACAAAAATCCTTTTATACTTTGTTTGGTAGCTCACTTTCTACAATAGAAGGGGTTAGGGTTATTTGTTGTGGTGGTTGTTTTGTTGATTTGTTTGCTAGCTGAGAGGGAGTAGTGCCAGGTATAAGAAATACAATATATTATGTGTAATGTCAGGGAAGCATCATACAGGAAATTTATTTTGCAAAAGGGCAATATTGTAAAACAGTAATTTGAAAGTTACTGAAAATATATTAATGAGAAATCATACTAGTAAGCACTGCAAGTGCTGCCTAATTAGTTTTCCTATTTGTGAAGAAGCAGGAATTGTGTCCTTTTTCCCCTTTACAAGAGCTTACTTGCTCCTTTGAGTGCCATCTGGTTGCATCTTATAAAGGAACATAAATATCTCCTAACATTGCTCAGGCTGCAAGAAGCATTCTTCCTTTTGTGAGTGTTCCACTGTTGGCACTCCGGTTTCCATTTCCTAGTCTTTATGGCTGTTTCTCACTCTTCCTCTTACGGGAAGTTCAAGGTAGCTTGTAGAGACTAAGCTGTCTTTGGTGGAAATAGCACAGGGTGTTTATAGTGCCTTTATATTAGCCTGATGGGCAGACCAGGCCATATGAGAGTGCTGAGAAGAGCACTGCAAAATTAAAACTACTGTTCCTAGCTCCTGAACAGTTCTTCAGCCATACAAAAATTATTTCAGTCTTCACCATTTGTAGGTGGGTATGACATACACAGCCCTAGTGCACACTGCTGAATTGGCTTGAGAGAAAAGGCAACCAATAACTTTATTAACCAAATATGTACTGTCCACATCAACCTTTCATGCCTAGAGAAAGAATCATCTCTTTAGTTGGCATCACCACATGATGCTTGCCACCTAATGCACTGCTTTCTTCAGCCAATTTTAAAAGTGGCAGCATGGCTTTTTTCATTTAAAGACTTATGTTACACACTGTAATACACTTAGTACTTAGGTAGAATGGCTGAGCAATGACAATTCATAACATTAACTAGAATACAACCATCTGTTCTTAACTCTGATGTCTGCCGTTTGAAACCTGCCTTGCAAATATTTGGAAAACATTCATATTAAATTATTCTTCTCTCTTTTTCCAGTAACTCCTGAGGCTTGGAGAGTGATGATGTCTCTTAAATCAGGCCTTCTTGCTGAAAGTACTTGGGCTTTAGACACTATTAATATCCTTCTGTATGATGACAGTACTGTGGCTACTTTCAACCTTTCTCAGGTAGGAAGAATGATAAAAATATGAACCATGCTGATGCCAAATGGCCTAGTCAAAAAGGACCAAAGATACTAAATCTTAGAAATTAAATGTACAATTGTTTTAAATATTGTAGGTTTTTTAACCTGTTTCTGCATGTATGGCATATATCACTTTCATTAACAACAGGAGCAACAGAGGAAAAAGCCCAGCAGGAACTCATTAGCATAATAGGCCACACCCAACAGCAAAACCTATTAGCATATTAGGCCACACCCTGACAGCACTGCTCATTAGCACATTAGGCCACACTGCCATGTTTCCAGAAGTGTGGTCATCCAGCCACACCCACCTTTTGCTTGTTATTCTGTTTACCTTGTTTGTTGTCAAAACCCAGGGCTTTTTTGTAGCAGGAACTCCTTTGCATGTTAGGCCACACACCCCTAATGTAGCCAATCCTAATCAGTTTCTGCTGTTGGGTGTGGCCTATTATGCTAATGAGTTCCTGCTGGGTGTGGTCAACTTGGGAGCCAGCCGGAACTCCGTTCCTGTGCGTTCCTGCCCAAAAATAGCCCTGCCTAGGATGCTGTAAATTTCAGCATGAAATAGCATTCAATAATCAGAAAGTAATAAAAGCCTTTGAGAACATACTGTAGATCTGAAAGCAGTTATGGCCATTGCTTATGTCTTGTGAGCTTTTCCTTAGCTTGAAAATTAAAAATAGCCTAAATTATTGTGTGTACATTCTGAAAGATCTATTTGTGTGTGGACATTGTATCAAAGCAACTGAGTTCTTTTAGTTGTGTTGTGGGGGGTTAGTAAATGAGTGTTACATTCGCAATGAAAATGAAATTGCTCAGCAACAAAATTGTCAAAGTGTCATTACTGAAGACCGACATATTTTATCCAAGGAACAGAAAATAAGAATCAGTATGAACTCTACCTCATTGTTTGCCAGCATTGCTCAATTCCTGGCTTACACGGTGGATGCTGAAATTCTTTCTGTGGCCCATTCCCCTCTTGACTTGTTTCCTTACTTATAAGCAGTGCTGTACATTATTCCATGTGTAACACACAACATTGGACATGGAGCAGAGAATAAAAATGTTGAGTTTGGATACAGAAGAACCGGCTCGCAAATCACCACTTGCCTGGTCCCGATGACCAAGAAGAAGCTTTTGTAAAGGAAAAGAGGTTGTTGTTTTTTTCCTGTCAGGCCATTGACGTGCCAAGAATAACAAGATGTTATGTGTATTTAGGAGGGCTGCTTCCGCTATTCATGGGCTAGATACTTCTGTGGATTTAATTACAATGCTGGTACAAGATACAGGTTCAAATCCATACCCCACAACTATCTCACATATCTCACAGGGTTTACTATGTGGATAAATTGTGTTGAGGAGATATACACTGCCTATACACTGGTAAGGTATGTTTTATGTGTAGAATTAAGAATAGGTTGGATGAAAAGTCTAAATGAACTTTTGGAACCCAGAAGCTCTAGAAGAGAAACTGACAAAATCTTTAAATTGTGCTACTATAACACCATGTCATATTCCTCTAGTGTTCCTGTTAACATTTTGTGTTTATTTTCTGTTTCCCCAGTTATCTGGCTTTCTTGAACTCTTGGTGGAGTATTTTAGAAAATGCCTGATTGATATTTTTGGGATCCTTATGGAATATGAAGTGGGACATCCAGGACCAAAACTACTAGATCATAATTCAGCTCAGAAAGAGGATGGCCAATCCATGACACAAGATGCCAGAAAAGAAGAGGAGAACGATGATGAATGTATTGCTTATTTTGATGAATTTGAGGATGAGGAGGAGGAAGAAGAGGAAAATGAGAAAACTGAAGGAGAAGAAAAAAGCACTGTTCTTGCTCCCCCAGATGCCATTGCTGAGCCAACTGAGAGGCCACAACAAGCCAGTAAATTTGACAAGCTGCCTATAAAAATTGTAAAGAAAAACAATCTTTTTGTTGTTGACAGATCTGACAGACTTGGGCGTGTTCAGGAATTTAACAGTGGACTTCTCCACTGGCAGCTTGGTGGGGGTGATACAACAGAGCACATTCAGACCCATTTTGAGAGTAAGATGGAGATCCCTCCTCGCAGGAGACCGCCTCCTCCATCAAGCTATTTAAGTAAAAAGAAGAATGGGGAGGGGAAAGGAGAATCAGAAGAAATGCAAGACAAAAGCATATCAGCCACCATTGATGATGTCTTGTCAGCTCGTCCAGGAGCATTGTCTGAAGACTCAGACTCTGCTTCTCAGACAGATAGCGGTAAATTTCCATTTGGGATCCATCAGGCCAAAAGTCATCGGAATATCAAGCTGCTAGAGGATGAGCCAAGGAGTCGAGATGAAACTCCACTATGCACCATAACTCATTGGCAGGACTCTTTGGCCAAGCGATGCATCTGTGTGTCAAATATTGTCCGCAGCTTATCTTTTGTGCCTGGCAATGATGCCGAAATGTCAAAACATCCAGGCTTGGTGCTGATCTTGGGAAAGTTGATCCTTCTGCATCATGAACACCCAGAAAGAAAGCGTGCACCACAAACATATGAAAAAGAGGAAGAGGCGGACAAAGGGGTGGCCTGCAGCAAAGATGAGTGGTGGTGGGATTGCCTTGAAGTCTTGAGGGACAATACTTTGGTCACATTAGCCAACATTTCTGGGCAGCTAGACTTATCTGCTTACACAGAAAGCATCTGTTTGCCAATTTTGGATGGCTTACTGCACTGGATGGTGTGCCCATCTGCAGAGGCACAGGATCCTTTTCCAACTGTGGGGCCCAATTCAGTCCTATCGCCTCAAAGACTTGTACTGGAAACCCTGTGTAAACTCAGTATCCAAGACAATAATGTGGACCTTATCTTGGCCACTCCCCCATTCAGTCGTCAGGAGAAACTCTATGCTACTTTAGTTAGGTACGTTGGGGACCGCAAAAATCCAGTCTGCCGAGAAATGTCCATGGCACTCTTATCAAACCTTGCCCAGGGGGACACATTAGCAGCAAGGGCAATAGCCGTGCAGAAGGGAAGCATCGGAAACTTGATAAGCTTCCTTGAGGATGGGGTCACTATGGCCCAGTACCAGCAGAGCCAACATAACCTCATGCACATGCAACCCCCACCTCTGGAGCCGCCTAGTGTAGACATGATGTGCAGGGCAGCCAAGGCTTTGCTGGCCATGGCTCGGGTGGAGGAAAACCGCTCAGAGTTCCTTTTACATGAGGGCCGTTTGCTGGATATCTCAATATCTGCTGTTCTGAACTCTCTGGTTGCATCTGTCATCTGTGATGTACTTTTTCAGATTGGACAGTTATGACATAAGTGAGAAGCCAAGCATGTGTGAGTGGAGATTAGAGGGTCACATATAACTGGCTGTTTTCCATACTTGTTTATCCAGTGTAGGAAGAAGGAAAAAAGAATATTTGCTCCTCTGCCCCATTCACTATTTACCAATTGGGAATTAAAAGAAATAATTAATTTGAACAGTTATGGAATTAATATTTGCTGTCTATGTGTATAAGTACATCTTTTATTTTATTTTTTTAACCAAAGTTGCTGTCTAGTACATTCAAAGGTCACATTTTTTTTTCCATAGATATCTTTTTCAATGCCTTTTTCCATGTTTGTATCACATTTGGGGGGGAAGCGAACTAGAGAAATTGGGGAGGTAAAATACTGCAAAACACAATTTGATGGGGGGGAGAATAAGGTCACCGCTCTGAAGCGCAAAAATGGGGGGGGGACATACCAAGTTACTGTGTGTTTTATTTTTCAAGAAGGAAAGAAAACCCAGCCACCCTTTTCACCGTTGCCCAAAGCGCTCTGTGCAATAGAAGAATGTTAGTGATGTAGGTGTAGCGGATCAAGGAAGGGGGTTGCTCCATAGACTGCATAGGAAATTATCTTGGGTTTCTCCACAGGAGAATGGTTACATTAGGGTAGGAGCAAAACAAATTCTTTCGGGAAGGTTGCAACACAAACCTGAAGATGATCAACGTAAATTGCTTCCTCATCAGAACTGTCTCATCAGTATCTATTGTTAGACCTTCCATAATGACAGTTCTTCACAATTCCTTTTAATCATTTTTTAAATATTTTTTATTGCCTAAGGGCCGTGATGTATATAGAAGTTGTACATTAAACATACCCTCATCTCTTTTTTTATAAATACAAGGGTTTAATTCTTTTTTCATGATGTGGTAACTACAAAGTGATGGTAGAATTAATTTTATTATTATTATTATTATTATTATTATTATTATTTTTGTTTGGGCCATATCTCCAAAAATAATAACAAAAAAAATCACCACCACCACGAGGGTAATGTACAAGTTTCTGTATGTATAAAGTCATGCTCTATTTCGGGAGAGCAATTGCTCACAACTTGCTTTATAAATCAAGATGTGGAAATGGTTACGAATGGATTGATTTAAGAAAATGGTTACCTGTCTACAGACAAAAAATGCATATACAGGAAAAAAGGAAGAAACACAACTTCAAAGATTTTTCAGTGAGAAGAATCTGCATTTGTATTTCAAAATAATGTAGTTTAAAAAAGAAAAAAAACTTGATGTAAATTCCTCCTTTTCCTCTGGCTTAATGAATATCATTTATTCAGTATAAAATCTTTATATGTTCCACATGTTAAGAATAAATGTACATTAAATCTTGTTAAGCACTGTGATGGGTGTTCTTGAATAATGTTTCGTTTCACCATGAAATCAAACCAGTTCTGTGAGTAACAACAAAGGATGTCCTCTTCCTCTGACCAAGAATGGTTGATCATGGATTATTTTCCATTTTTTTGTTCAGGTGACATAACAAGTTACTGTCTTTTGAAAAATGGTATCCACCAATTTTTGCTTTAAAGGAGCCCATAAAAGATTATGATGGGGTTTGGTTGATGATTATTGTACACCCACAAAAGGTGCTGCTTTCAAGAATGAAGTCTTGTAATAAAGATTTATAGGGTATTTTTCTGGCAGTAATTAGCTTGGAGGCGCTAGTTTGTATTTGAAGTACAATTTGTCTGAGTCATATTTTGTACCCACTGTAGACAACCAGAGATTTGATTCAGTGATTTCTTATGGGCCAACAGATGTTCAGAACTCATCCATCATCGAATGATTGCTGTTTCCCTCTCCATGGAGAAAGCAAAAGTCACAAGCATGTCTCCTCACATCTGCAAACTTGGCCCCTTCCTGGAGATGAATGGGAGCATCCCATACAAATAACTGCTCTTTGTGTGTTTTAGCACACACATGGGCCTTTGGATTGTGTAACTGATTTCTGCATTAATTACCATAGCACTAGCACCCTTCTCAACCTGATAGGTGAAAAGCTTGGAAGCTATTTCATGTGTTAGCAAAACAGGGAATGTGCACAGTACTTTCTTCCCATGAATGCAAAAACTGTGGGGGCAGAACCAATGACATGTTCCTTCTCATATCAGTGTCTCCCTCCCCAGAAGCCACATTCCGATCACGTCACTGGTTGCACCAAGTTATTTCTTTTTTTCACATATTGCTATAGCAGAATGAGAAGCAGCTGTGGGGAAACAGTTCCCATAGCACTGTGGCAAAGCCCTGGGAACTCTCACAGAAGTGATCCAAAAGAGCAGGACTTAAGAGGTTCATATCGATAATTACTCAGTTGGAAAAAGAGATCCTGTTTCCCCTTCTTTTCATTTGATGCTACTGTATTTTGAACATAATTCAAGTACTAATTCTTTCTGTTTCTTCCTGTTTCATTGACTTGACTTGGAATGGCTGCATATTTTTATATCTTTCCTTTGATCCACTATGGGGCTGCTAGAAAACACATTATCCCAGTTGGCACCCCGATAATCTTGTTCATATAACTCGGTCTAACACATTAATATAGAAGATAATTTCATAGACAGGCAAAGTACATACCATTATCATCCAAGTTTGAAACGTGACTCCCTTGTGTCACGAAAAGTAATTTTTCCTTCTAGAGTTTCTTCTGTTGTAATCTATTCACTTTCATATCACCCACAGTAACAGTCTCCATCTCTTTGTCTCTTGCATAACAATGCGTTCAGAAGTATATGTTAAATTATAGCCCACTTGTAACTGCACATCATGAAAAGAAACTGATTTAGGGAGCTATATAAACTTTCAAAGCATTCTATGATGGGAAGCTATATCTGGCCCTTCTGACTTGTTAACTATTGTTAAAGTCGTTTTAACAAGTGCATGGATTCAGTATGTTTTCAAAGCCCTAATCTGACCTCCATTCTCTCTGTCCTGTATTCTTCTGGTGCACTGATTTCCTTAATTGATTTTTTAAAGCTCCGGTTGAGTGAATATGTCCAGCCCCATGAGGGCTAAAAAGCATTCAAATTCTATCAAAACTGAAGAAGAGCGCACTGATTTCCTTAAGTGGTTTTTTAAAGCTCCGGTTGAGTGAATGTGTCCAGCCCCATGAGGGCTAAAAACATTCAAATTCTATCAAAACTGAAGAAGAGCGCACTGCATTCTTGTCAGGGTAATCAAAAGTTATCAGCTGTATTATCAACAGCAAATGTGGGAGTACTACTTGTTGTGTTGCTCTTTTTTGAAAATAATTCCACAAAATAATAGAAACCTTGAAAAGTGTATTAATAATAAGGCATCTAGGATAATCAGTAGAAATGGCCTAGCTACTGATGTCTCCACATGCTCTAATGCTAACTAAACCTTTCTGCCTTCATTTTTACAGGTCAGTTATCAGAGAGTAACAAATGTACAAATACTACCATTTGCTAAAGAAAAAAAATGCTTTGTAGAGAGTGCTCTAAATAAGAGGGCATACATCATGGAATTCTATGATCAACTAAAAGTGTTATCTGATATCTATTTTATCAACAGAGCCTTAAAAACAATAATGCTTGGATGGGTTTTGCATATTCTTTTTCTAGCTCAGCTGAGCATGCTATTCTAAAGGACTGACGATTCCGGAATAGAGTTGCCAGATTAACAGTTACAAACAAAACCAAGTGTCTCTTACAGAAGGAATTCTGCTGGCAAAAAACCAAACAAAATGTATGGTTACTAACTTACCATGATGTCTTAAGTGAGACCCGCAAGAACTTGCAGGAGCAGTTATCCCATTACCTACCCTGACCTTTACTTCCCCCCCTCCCCTTATTCTCTGTCTCTTACTCTTTCTCCCTCCTGCCACTTCTTCACTTACTCTTTCTCACGTCCACGCCTGTCACTTTCTCTTTCTGCCCCCATCACTCTCCCAGCCTCCCACCTGCTTCTCCCACCCACAGCAGTGATAACACTGGCAGCTCTCCAGGAATCACAATGGACCTCCCAGCTACAGAGGTAAATTCCCTTTAGGATTTCCAGCTGCAGGTTGGGAAATTCCTGGAGATTTGGGGGTGGAACCTCATGAGGGTAGCATCATCAGCAAGATATAATGCCATAGGTTCCACCCTCCAAAGTAGCCATTTTTCCCAGGGGAACTGATCTCTCTCATCTGGAGAGCAGTTGTAGTTCTGGGTGATGTCCAGCCCTCACCTGTGCTAGTTCCCCTGGAGGAAATGACTGCTTTGGAGGGTACAGTCTATGGCATTATACCTATCTGAGGTCCCGCTGCTCCTCAAACCCCGCCCTCCCCAGGTTCCACCCCTCATATCCAGGAATTTGCCAACCTGCCTTTATCTGCCCCTCTGTCTTCAGGTTCCCATCATCTCCCTCTCAGCAGCCTCTACCTAGGAAAGCTATGGTCTTTCTCCCCAGTGTAGACCAAAGCAGCTTACATCATTCTTTTTATCTGCACAACAACCTTATGAGGTAGGTTAGGCTGAAAGTATGTGACTGGTCTAAAATCACCCCGTCAGCTTCCACAGCAAGATGGAAATGTGAACCTGGGTCTCGCAGACCCTACTCTGAAGCTCTAAGTGCTGCAACTCACTGGCTTTCATAGGGTGGCTGATGTTGGAAAGTAGCAAGCACCCAGAGGTTGCTGCCAGGGCTAGGGTTGCCAACATCCAGGTAGAGCCTGTAGACCCCTGAGAATTACAACTGAACTCCAAACATCTGTCACTCTGGAAAAAACAGCTGCTATGGAGGGTGGACTCGCTGGCATTCTACCATGCTGAGATGTCTCCCCTCCCTGCCTTCCTCAGACTTCATCACAAAATCTCCAGGAATTTCCCAACCTGGAGCTGGCAACCCTAGTCAGGCCTGGCCCCAATGAATACTTAAAGGCCAAAATAGGCCTGTAAAGGGCCCTCCCTTCTCCCCCTGCCTTTGTACTCACAGAAATTGAAGCCTGAAATACTGAGGGAATCTGTTGCTTAAAGCTACAGGTGCTCCTTTTATCATTTTTAGATATTTTTAAACCACCCAATGTATTTTTAAAAAAATTTCACATGTTTTGCAAACCTGGGACCCTTTTCAGGTTTGTAGAGAGAGA